TTGCACAGTTAAGGACTTGATTACTTTATACGTTAACCTAAGTACACATTTTTCTTATACTTCTGCTATTAAAGATTCTAATTGTTTTTCCCAATAGATTATTATCTGTTAGTTACCGTTTCTTATACATCCAGCAAATCTCTTCTATTCTTATATTACAAGTGAAAAATATCACTTAGAAAAATAAATCAAGTGAACATAAAAATATTTTTAAAATAACGCAAAATATTTAACAATAATATCGATACTTATTACAGACGTCCAAATACTTTGTTTACTACACAGCTTTATATGCGAAATTATATTTGCGTTTCAGAAACACCTTCTTCTGTTTCTTATTTTTAAATGTATCTTCTAAAAATCAAAAGCCAAAAATCTTTACGCTTAAAAACGTAAATATAAATCTATAATCTGATATTGTAAAATTGTTTTGGTTGCGTATAAGCGGCTTTCTTCTTTTTACGTACAGGCGCATTGAGTGAGGATATGTGTCAGACGTCCGCGACAGTATTATTTTTTCTAGTAAAGGTAGCTATAGATACGCATCAAAACGGTAAGAATTTATCACCGTATTTATTCTGCTAGAGGTTGTTAAAGGTAAGTAAGAAATTTATATTGCAAAACTCTGAAAAGGCGGTTCACATTATACTGGACATCTTGGTATCCTGCTTTGTAAAGGAAACTGATTTCACACACTGGGCATAGACAAAACTTGGAAGGTAAGTCAGTTATGTCAAACCATGCAAAAGCTGTCTTCTCAAGGAGATTGATGACTTCGCTGAGGACTTCCTTGCATTTACATTACGGCTAAGGGATTATAGTACCTCATGGAGCCGCTCGTTCAGCAGCCGGAATGCAATAGATCCCTGAATATGCCTTCAAGTAAATGTAACCTTTTCTCTACATTATTAATGAAATTATAAGATATGGACTGTATTTAGTGAGCTGAATAAAGAACTGCATGTAAAAATATTTTACACGTACCATTTTTAAGAAATGGAAGTACATTCAAGACTAAATCTGTTTCACCATACCAGCAAGGATTTGTGAAGAGCTGGGATATATCTTCTTTGATATTTTTCTTTTGATTTCAATTTTGAAGTTTCTGCCGTCCAAGACCATTCTTATACAGCTAGGATACCACACTTCCACATCTCCACAAATACATTTTCCACAGATACATTTTCCATGGCAAAAATATCTTAATGTCCTGGTGAAATTATTCACCGTGTCTATCAATAATCTTTCTAGTCTATCAATAATTAACTTTGAAGTCAATGAAATAAAGCTTCATGGTAAATGGATTACAGCCAGTGAAAAATCACGTTTTGTGACATTTTCCACTGATAGGTGAGTAAATGACTCGAGGGAGAAATCTGTCAGTTCTAAGGGCCGTATCGTCTGGATTGCAGTTGTGCTGCCAGAAATCTTGCTTTGACAAGTGTCATGCATACGTTGTAATTTGCTGCTGGTCCATTGCCTCGTTTGCAGATTCATTGATTTCAAGAAGAAAATAATTTAAACAAGCATAGCCATTCCGTTAACGGAGATTGTCTTCCATGTTGAAAGACTCCGTTTCTAATTTAGGAAAACATTAATTGAATCCCTGGTGAAATCGTAATCAAAAGAACTCAAAAATGAATCGAATTAAACCATGTTGCTGGTAACAAATAAATGATTCCATCAACCTAGCAATGAAAGTCAATTAGCATTTACTTACAGATTTACACCCCAAACATGTATTATGAGTTTAGGAAAAACTGCAAAGTACTTCAGAAAAGAAATTCTAAATTTTATTTCCTATCTAAATGCGTAACTGAAAGGCCATTCAATAAGTAATTTACAGGAAAATATTAGTTTCACTTCAAAGAACAGGAACAAAATTGAGTACTCTTTATTTTAAACAGAACTACAAATTTAAATTTGCTTCATCGTACTTGTACATGCAAGCAAATTTTCTTGCCATCAAAAGTCACTGCTAGGGCTAAGGTTTAATAATTATATAATGTATAAGGTATTTCTCCCGCCTTCTTAGCGTGTCTTCGTGGTGTAGTGGTCTGCATTCTGGACGCGTACTCCATAAGTCTCTGGTTCAATGCCTGGCAAAGGCGTTGCTCATTTTTTATCTCTCCTGCTTCCAAAAACCTAATGACACTACAGTGGCGCCCGATCTAAAAGGGTGGTTGAGGATGATTCTCCAAATCCATGATTTGGCGACTGGGTCTTCTAAAACCCCAGTCACCCTTTAAAAAGGAGAATATATAAGGTATTTTTCCCGCCTTCTTAGCGTACCTTAGTGATGTAGCGGTCTGCATGCTGGGCGCGTATTCCAGAGGTCTGTGGTTCGATTCCCGGCGAAAGCGTTGCTCATTTATCATCTCTCCTGCTTGAAAAAACCTAATAACTGTACAAATAAACATAACACAAGAGTTTCAAATGTTCATTGCACCGAGCAAATTCAGAGCAAAAAATTTAATGCTTTGCATTTTAAAGAAACACGTTAATGTATTTTGCAAATATTCGACAAAATTTTAGATTTTGCAGGAAAAATACTGATGACTATACCATTGATAAATAATATACTACAGTGTTCAGTTTCAAGTAAGATCCAACTGAATACATTCATACAAAATAGTCAGTTTTCATAAGTTCTTAAGAAATAAAATTAATTCTCAAGTGAAGAATTAACATTTAATTTAATAAAGCACAGAAAATACACACACACACACATATATCACATACACATATATAAATATCTAATAGTGAGAGAGAGTCTCTCTATACATACAGATTCTCTCTCTATATTTACCATATAGATATATATATATATATATCTATATGGTAAATATATATATATAATAATATATCTATATACAAATATATATATAGATATATAGATATATATATTTGTATATATATATATATATATATATATATATATATTGTAATAATAAAATTCCATAATCAAGAATACACTTAAAATTCTAACTGTATGTTCTTTTAATTTTTAATGGCGACGTTCTCTTATTTGAAAGTACGTGGAATTAAATCCCCAACCCCGTAGTTAAGTTTTTTTTCCCGCCTTTTCTACACGTACAGATATAGAATGTTCTGGAAATATTTAAAGCGAACTGGATTGGCTGACGAGGCTGACGTCATTTCTTGGAAGCTCCGCCTTTCCAGAGGCTATAAAAGAAATCGCAAAAGGAATATCGGGGCTTTTTCTTAAATGTCATGATGCAGTAAACTTCATACAAAATATTATTAGTAGTTCTTTTTATATTAACTCCGGATATCTGATTTTGTAACTGCTATTTCTCCTGACCAATAATAAATGGATCCTGTTTTTTAAACTTATCGTCTGATAATTTAAGCTACGACTACATTTATGATTCTTCAACAATCTATTTATTCCTGACAAAAGCTGGTACATCACATATATATATATAGAGAGAGAGAGAGAGAGCATTAAAAGAACATTATAAATGTAAAATATTTTTAAATATGAATATATGGATTTTTTACATTAAAATCAATAACATTTACCAATTAAGAAGGCCGTATATGACAGAGATAATTGAGTTGTAGCAAACCAGAATTCGTGTGATCGCTTCGTGTATGCAGTTGCTTGCTCGTGTCACCATCTATTAACACTGACAAGGAGTGCTGCAGCGCAGAAACTTTCTTTGACCTCGAAGATTACGATGACCTTGGAATTTTATCCTGGGTTTCAAGGTCCGTACAGTGAATCTTGAGTACCTCCGTACAGTGAACCTCCGTACAGTTTCACTGTACGGACCTTGCTGGGTCTGTTACAAGGCAGCCGAATGCCATACCGCTAACTTTATAGAGCTTGCAGGAGTTACCGTTATTCAAATTGTTTTTTCAGAGCGAGCGTTTGATTGGCTGTCGAAATCGCTACAGTCTTATATTTCAGTTTCTTCTCTTAAGGATAAAACTCTTATGCAATTTGACTTCAGCAGCTGTTCGTTCAACAGCTGTTCTTTCATCATTCAGAAATCAGTCAATGTCGGCCGCCCTATCAAACGGATCAAAATTAAATTTATATAGTCTTGCGGATTTGAATTTTGTAACTTATCAGATATTAATTTTAATACAATCAAATTTGTTTTCTTAGTTTTAAGAATTATATTTATCTTAGAAACCCATTTGTACCTATTGTTTATTACTTCATTCGAAAATATTTAAAAATATCATTTAAAAAAAGTTCACATTCTTCATTACTTCCTTACTTCGTGCATTTATTTACAATTTAATAAACTAATGCAATTATATTTATCCTTCTGATCTCTTCAAATTGAATTTTACTATTAATAAATACATATTTATAAAAAAATTCCAAATCGAGCATGTACTTAAAGCTGCATTTATTAAAAATGCATGCAGTTATATTAACCTTTTAATGTGAAGTAACTAAAAATGGGCAAGTAAGTATCAAGTAATTTTACATTGGGGCAAAACGCCAATGTAAAATTTAAATGCAGGGGGGGAAGAAACTTTACTTTGACGAAGTTTTCGAATAAAATTATCGATTTCGAATGATCAGGAAAAATTCTATCTTCTTCTTCTTTAAAAAATAAATAAATAAATAAATAAATAAATAAATAAAAAGTTGCTAAACTTGTTTTTGCTGCCAAAGAAGAGAGACCGGGTCTGTTTGCTTTCAAAATAGAGTTTTATTGAAATTCTGCTCCAAATCAAGGTTGCTTTTTAGCCTAATTTGAAATCAATTTATTATATGATATATTGATTCATGACAATTTTTCTTTTTTTCAGCCATGAAATATCAAAAAACCTTAATTATATAATTTGTTGATGTATGACAGGTTTTGCTGCTTTTGTTGCCGTGTAAAACTTTCCAATGATATTTTCATTAATATGCTATTTTAATTATTTTAAAATTAATTCATTAATATGCTATTTTAATTATTTTAAAATTAATTCATTAATATGCTATTTTAATTATTTTAATTTTTCAGTACATTCAAGAAGCCTGATGTGTGTTTCCAGTGCTTCAACTTTAATTATTCTACTAGTTCTTCGTGAAATCTGCAGAATTCCTCTGCTTAGCAACGCCACATAACCAACGTTTCAAATTACCCATTACCCAGAATGTATTTTTTATTAGTAGTGAACGAAAATGAACTTTAGTTGACCAACATCTGAAAACTGACATATTTGTCAATATTTATTTCACCGAGGAAATTTTTGAAGGATGACACTTTAGAAATTACGCTTAGACTGGAAAAGACTACTTTGAACTATTGCTATGAGAGTGATGAGTAACTGAAGCCTTACAGATTTTGTGTCCTAGTACTTGTGCGATTGAGTGTGCATTTACTAGACTCTCTTACTCCATATCCATAAGCCCTTATTTAAGCTGCAAGTGTGTCTACAGCTCGCAGTATGAAGTGGAGAAATTTCTCTCAGATGTCCTGGAGTTATTAGATTTTTTTCAAACTGTCCAAGCTGTTTTGTCTGCAAATGCGTCGAGTTATACTGATTCGTGAGAAAATGTCAAGATACTCCGAGGCCTAAAATTTACATAGTATTATGAAATTTGTCGGTGCATATCTGTCTTATTTGTGTAGTTGTCAGAATAGAAACTTTTCTACTCGCCTTGTTTACTTTTCTATTTTGTGTGTGCATGGCCTAGTCTATATAATTAGAAATTATTTACAATAGTACATACATGCAATAACAAATAATTTACTTGAAATAAATTATTAAGAATTCATCTATGTTTTCGAAATCAGACAAACTTCTCATTCTATGAATGGAATCATCATTTTAACTTTTGTCACTAATATGTTTCCATACCTTTCTAAACTGTGAAGTGACAAAAGTTCAGCCTTGCAAAGGCTCGAAAATTCTTGCACAGGCTCTTGATAAAATGTAGCTTTGTGCAGTCTGCAATAACATAGTTTAATGCATATTTAATAATAGTTTATTTTCCTTCGTCTTGATGCCATTCTAATAGTAAACTTATGAAGACAAAGGGAAAATTTATTCGTAATATTTCTGCATACTTTTTCATCCCAGAATTTAGTGCTAGTTTAAATGAATAATCAGAAAAACAATTAATGAGTGGAAAAGTTCTTGTTCTGTTATACTGTTATCGAAATCATTGAATGAGATTTGTCTTTTACGCATGTATATCGTCTTTCAGTGTAACAGATCATCACCATTTTTATTTTTCCATACCCTAAAGTATTTCATTTTCATCTTTAGTAGGTACAGGTTGTTTCAATAAAGCCAATATTGTATTCAATTAATGGTTGCGTTCATTATACACTACTGTGAAACATATCCAAGTTTATCACTTGACAACTTTGAAATGTATTTTTTAACAAAGCATTGGACACGAAACATTTTAATGCATCCACCCCCAAAAAATTTCAAGAAATGCTAAGAACAGTTTGAAAAAACACTAGATTTGAAGAATATGATTAGCTTGAGTCATGTAGCAGAAACTAAGCCCTGTCACTCACTTGGCTCAACCTTAATTCAAATTTCAGCTAAAGTTCTCGCTACGTAAGCGTATTTGGGATTTTCCGCATGTGTAACGTAATACGAGTCAGCAATCAAATATTCATTAAAACTACCTGTAAAATATTTAATTTGGGTGATACTTTCAGAATAACACAAACAGCTTAGTGAAAAACGACAAATTTTCAGAACGTGCCAATTCTGGCAACCATGCGCATAACCATTTTCACGTTATTGCAAGTTTAAGCGTTATTTTTAAGCTGCGAATCAACTGGAGAGATCTACTCATTTTGTAATTAATTATGTTGCTACACATCTACAATCGGGAAAATAAATTCGTTTTATTTCACAACACATTGTAATTTTTGAATGCATACGTAATATACAGATCTGAAAACACCAAGTAGGACAAAGAACAATTTCGTACCTGCTGCTGAAGTATGTCGTTCGACGAAACTTAATTTATACTTTTCAAGTCTGAAGGGATTCGTTTAAAATTTAGAATACATTTACGTATATTTTTATTACATTTGTTTGTAGTTGTGTTACTTTTATGTATACCATAAGCTATTTCTCCCACCTTATTGGTGTGCCTTCGTGGTGTAGTGGTTCTGCACACTGGGCCGGTATCCAGAGGTCCGTGGTTCGATTCCCGGGCGTTGTTAACTTTTCATCTCTCCGGCCTCCAAAAAAATCCTAATTTCTTTACAGTGGTGCCCGAACTAAAGAGGTGATGGATGATGATTCTCCTCACCCAGAATTTGGCGATTGGGTCCCCTAAAAACCCCAGTCGTCCTCTAAAAGGGTGTGTATATGAGGTATTTCTCCCTCCTTCTTAGCGTGCCTTCGTGGTGTAGTGGTTCTGCACGCTGGGCCGGTATTTCAGAGACCTGCGGTACGATTCCCGGTGAAAGCATTGTTAATTTTCATCTTTCTTGCTTCCAAAAATATATACCTAATGTCTCTGCAATGGCGCCCGAAATAAATAAGCGATGAATTATGACTCTCCATAGGCAGGATTTGGCGATTGGGTCCCCTAAAAACCCCAGTTGCCCTTTAAAAGGGGAAGTATATAAGGTATTTCTCCCACCTTTTTGGCGCGACTTCGTGGTGTAGTGGTTTTGCACACTGGGCCGGTATCCAGAGGTCAGTGGTTCGATTCCCAGTGAAGATGTTGTTAAATTTTCCTCTCTCCGGCATAAAAAATATCCTAATGTCTCTACAGCGGTGCTTGAAATAAAAGGGTGTTGGATGATGATTCTCCTCACCCAGGATTTGGCGATTGGGTCCCCTAAAATCCCCAGTCGCCCTTTAAAAAGGGGAGTATATAAGGTATATCTCCCGCCTTCCTAACGTGCCTTCGTGGTGTAGTGGTTCTGCATGCTGAGCCGGTATTCCAGAGGTCCGCGGTTCGATTTCCGGCGAAGGCATTGTTAATTTGCAGCTTTCCTGCTTCCAAAAATATATACCTAATGTCTCTATGATGGCGCCCGAACTAAAAGGGTGATCTATGATGACTCTCCACACAGAGGATTTGGCGATTTGGTCCCCTAAAAGCCTCAGTCGCCCTTTAAAAGGAGAAGTATATGAAGTATTTCTCCCACCTTCTTGGCGTGCCTTCGTGGTGTAGCGGTTCTGCACACTGGGCCGGTACCCAGAGGTCCGTGGTTCGATTCCCGGCGAAGGCGTTGTTATTTTTTCATCTTTCTTCCTTCCAAAATACCTAATATCTCTACAATACTTTACATGTATATTTTTGACAAAAAGTCGGATATTTTCTAAATGACATATTGATTTTGATTGATTGAAAGTTTAAATGTATGCTAAAATTGTGCCTACATGCTAGGTTTCGTAAGGGTCGTCTCATAATTTTATTTCTGCACTGTTCATTGAACTTGTTTTACATTTGGTAATAATAAATTACATTCTTTATGTTATTACAGTGTAAACAGAAATTTATATTTAATCCATAATAGCTAGTGTCCCTCATTCTAACTAATTTAAAATATTGTCTTTTCCTTATTTTTTTTTTTTTTTTTTTTTTTTGTAAAACCTATCAAAAATCTTCAAACATCTTAGAGAAGGTATTTTAAGCTCATTTCAAGAAATCAGAAATTTTGATTCAGCAGATTCTGACTTATACTTTTTTAAGCATTTAGAACATGACATTATAGGCAATAAACCGCTGAATCTGAACTTAGTGCTGTTCTATATTAATGACATTTAATCTGTAACAGCTTCAGAACCTCGTGCTGTTTTACATTACTGATATTTACTTTAGTATTTTTCACTGGCTTTCCTTTGTCACCCTAACTTTAAAGCGTTATGATGTCTCTCTTTCTTTTAAATATAAAAGTAATATGCTAATATTTTTTTAATTAAACAGCGCATTAAAATTTCTTAAAACGCTTTTATGTAGAAAAAGACAAAAAGTAGGCAGTTGAATAAATGTGAACAAACTATTGTGTTATAAAACTAAGTAGGCGATGAAAGTAATTAACTAGATAGTGGAAGCCTAAGTAGTTAAAATATTTCATACGATTTGCTGCATGAAAATGTATGCTGCTAAAAACAGTGCTGTTTAATACTTTTATATTTTCAAATACGCGAAATTCATGGAAACACATCACAATCAGAAGTTATAATGTACAGGTACAGTTTGTCGTGTTTTAAATTATAATAAATTGCCGAGTTAGAGGAAATCAAATGAAAAATGCTTTATGCTTTGTTGACTTATTATTTGAATAAAAGTAACTTTTTCAGTCCTTTTAACATGAATAAAAACTATGGGCAATATTTAGTATCGCAAGATATCTGGAAATTAGAGATGTACATAATTTACTTTTAACAGAATTGAAGGGATTGTCTTACTGAAATTTGCAACAAATAGTTTTGTTGACTATCGTTAACCAGTTTCCCAAATGATTATTTGTTTTCCAAACTCATTCGAACCTATTTGACATGCGTAAACTACCCATTTGCCAAATGACGTTGTTTTAGCTCAGCTAATATACAGCTTCATACTACAGCAATAACTGAATGTCGTATGAAGCTGTAGTATGAAATCCCACTTAAATTCCAATTATTATCACCTTACCACTTAATTTAAGTCATAAAACAAAGTAAAAAAATAAATCATAAAAATCAAACGCAAGTATAAACACCTTTTAATTCGCTTCATTTAGAGAGTGCAAGATTATATTTACTTAGCGAATATTGTTTTAAAGTTTGGAGCTATTTTACCTCCAACAATAAGGCCAGCCTTTCTACTGGGAACGTAGCTAATCGGCTATTTCTACTGGGAACGTAGCTAATAATCAATTGTCGGAACTGTTTTCAATTCAGGGAATCCTAGAGGGCCCCAGGGCGTCTTGTGTGCAAGTAGGACTAGCCTGGTGAGTTTTACCTTTCAATTAAGTATTAGGGTTCAAGAAGGGGGTCAGATGAAGAGCTAATCTTGTGAAGATGCCTCAAGCACATTTCAAGTTACATGCGTATAAAACAGATGCACGTTACATAGAAACATAGGAAACATCTAATATAAACATCACTCTTATTGCACAACTGAGTTAAAGAGCATTAATGTTAACACGTATGTTATCCAGTGTTGAGTAACGTTTATTACACATAACATCCAAGTCACAAAAGTCATACTTAACAGAAACAATTACCTGAAATTAAACAGTCATAATAGTAGTAATAATACTTAAATAATGAAAACTGATGGTAAATACAATAATACTTATACACGAATAATTGAGTTGTAATATTTAATAATACTCAAGCAATGAATTAAATGAAACATACTCAAGTGAAAACACTACATATGTACGTATTTTGTCCCATACATATAAAGGAACTGTCTAACATGAGAATCATCAAACTCATAATGGCCTGTTTTGCCGGCTAGCCCGCATATACGCTGGTCGTTTTCGAGACGTCCAATTTTTTGCAGATAAAGAACTTCATGAGATGCAGCAACCCATATATTGAAACCTGACCTATTTCGTATAAGACTGCTCTGCCGGTGATGACGACTCCTGCATTCGCAGTTTCTTTGTCCAGTATTCCAGAGTGGGCAAAATCCGGGCCATGTGGTCAACCGTAATTATGAGATGCATTTTCTGTCTATTCTAACGGATGAATTCCTACAGTAAGACCTGCCTGCAGGCTGAAGGCCGAGGCAGTCCTTTAGCCAAGCATGAGAATGTACGGCCTTTAATGAATCAACCTCAAAGACTGCTTTGTACAGAGAAAGCTTTTTCTTCCAGGTCGTTATAGCTTGATTATCACGAATAATACGCCAATGCCATACTCGCTTACGAGCCATCGGGGTAAATAGCAGCAGCATTCAGTCAGCTTGCGAGGAAAATATCAAAATCAAGTAGCAGAAATATTATAATCTTCGATGTGACAGAGTGGCTGAAGAATATGTTGTTCGTGGTCTGAATATACATAAACAATCTGAGTCTTAGGTACGTACTGCTGTACTTTCACACTGCAGGGCAGGGGCGGCAATCCTGATAGAAATTTATAGCACTCGTTGGTGACACTTTGTACTCTCGACAGATACTTAGGACAAAATGGTCTATGAGTTGAATTTAAGGACTTCTTTTTTAGTATCGGAGTGCTCTTTATATACTGGGCCGATTGACAAAATTGTATATTTCATATTTCGAAAGTAAGACTTAGGATATATATTAGATTTATATATAGCATAACTTAGTTCTAACTTAGTTATTTTGAAAAAAATCAGACTTTTATTGAATGCCATATCTATAT